TATGTGGAATTTCCCTGGATTACCTTGGAAATCTGAAATTGATAGTCAATTTCAGGTTTACTTTATACAGAATAAAAGTTAAAAACATATAACAATGATAAAAACTGATGATACTACTGTATTAAAAATATTAACAAAGAGGGGAAATCAACTTCAGGACCAGGGAACTCTAAACAATACAAAGTTTCAGGCAGCCTTGATGGACACTCAGTGCCACACTAGATAAAATGATGAATCTTCACCGATGCTTTTAAATAGTTGTTATTTTAATGCTATTTTTAAAAAAGAAAACTTAATTACAGAGTTGAGTGATATATCTATTAGAATATAAAAACAGCTAGACTAAACTTAAAGAATTATATCTTTTAAAGGAAGTATCTAGATGCACAATCCTATATGCTAAGCATCTAAATACATAGTCCTACATGCTAAATTCTACATGCTGGTTAATGAAGTTGCGATCCTATCCATCCTAGGATGACTACAGTGAGGTAGCAAAGCCTCTGACAGGGGTCCAGGCAGTGGCTCAGAGCCTGGCTTAGGAGTCTTCCAGTCAAAGGGAATAGCAGGCTCACTTGAGCATCTTGCTATGGGCTGTGTAGCTTTCTTGCCTCCCTAGCAATTGCAGACCATAGAAACTTATAGTATTGTCGTGGAGATTAAACGAAATAATACATGTAAAGTCTCTAAAAAACTAACTGGCACACTTGGAGCACTCCAATATTAGATTATTCTTCTCAAATATAAATGCACAAACCTGACACTGCACCTAAGGTCTTGCAATTTGAAAGTATAAAATATTCAACTATAGTATATATTAAGTAGTTATGCTGATGTTTCTTTAGAGTACTAAAGGACAGATTTTTTAAAAAGTACTTATAAATTTAAATACTCTCTAAGCTCACTTCAATGAAAGCTTAGAGAATCTATTCCATTCTTATATTAGTGATACACTCAGGTGCTTTCCAAATGAGCTCTGATACGTTAAAACTAACCCCAAATGGATAACCTAGGCAATTGTAATGACTATTTATCAAGCATGAAGTCCATCTCCTAATGTAAAATAAACTTCTTAAAGAGCCAGATTCCATTTTTATCCACACACATGCCAAACATATTGGCATATGTTCCAAGCATTCTATAGCTGTACATTTTAAGCAGACCCTTTTAATCTCACAAGCTATCACTAAATTACAGGAGAAAGAGTATTTCTTGCTATGACCAAGAACAATATGCTAGGTTTCTTTGGACTGTTTGCATTCTGTAATTTTCTCAGTCTACCTTTCATCAATAAATAAGAGTGTTGCTTTAACTAAAAAGTGTGGAAAATTCTGATTGAATTTTCCACTTCAAAGTACACAAAATCATTTCATCTAACATGCTGTGTTAGAAAATCTATGCTCCATTCTGACCTCCTGTTGCAGTCTATTTTAAGTATTGGTGATGTACCGTATCACACTGAATGGCTGGCGAAGTAGAGTAAACATATTGACTGAGAAATGTTTTGAAAACCCCCAATTCCACATAGATCCCAGCTACTGTCAAATCACAAAAATGTTTGCATTCTGTCTGTGCAGGAGCATGACAGAGCTCTAGGAGAAATTCCTGCAATAAATACAACCGGCTACTTGCAGAATACATCATCAAAGCAGGACTGTGCAGGACCAGAGCTGGAGGAGAAATAGAATAAGATTCTGGCCAATTATATGCTCAGAGGTACAGGAGAAAAGACATTATTAACCATGACCTTCCTTTAACCTATTTGCAAGGTTAAAATAAAATTTAGCAGAAAAGATTACTACCACCACTGACAAGGCAAACCTCAGCCGGCAGCCAAAGAACACATGGAAAGAGAGGTAATATATTGATTGACCTTTCCTTCCAATTGCAGTCTAGGCAGCTGGCTGTCTTTTTTCATTTAGGGGATATGACAGCTGATCCAGCTTATTTCCCTGGACCAGTAATCTAGGGCAGTCTTTGGACAAGTTAGGCAGCTGAGTTGAGTACACTTCTACAATTCAGAGCATTACATCATTAACTGTTACCAAGTAGGAAACCAAAAAAAATAATGTTGGTTAAAAAGGCTTTCTTCGGGGCTGGGGATTTAGCTCAGCGGCATAAGGCCTGCCTTGCAAGCAGGCAGTCGTGAGTTCGATCCCCGGTACCGATAAGAAGGAAAAAGACAAAAAAGAAAGGCTTTCTTCCCCCAAAGTACAAGCTTCGTGGGCCCTTACTAGAAGCTATCAAATGTTTCCCAGATGTACGGCTGACAACCCAATATAAATTCTTGTATTCCCCAAAATAAAGAGTAACAGGTTTCACTCAACACATCGTCTCAAAGAGTATTTGAGTCTTTTAAAGAGTCAAAGAATTAAATTTCCTTTGCAAAAGGTTCTCTGTTCAAGTAAGTTTAACAAACACCCATTTATATAATTTGGAGGACTGACCCACTGTAAGATCTCCCCAACACTGCTAGAAACACAAAGACTGTATCTGCTAAGAGCAAGGGCATAATCTACTGTGTGCCCCACATTCATCAGGACGTGAAACATGGGTGAGAGAAGGAAGGACACAATTCAGGCACATATACAGAATATCAATTGAGAAATGCAGGTTCAGACCTACTTTTAGGACAATATAAGAATAACCACAAGGAAAAAGGAGATGAAATTATCATTACACAATATGGCACTTATTATACTTACTAACTTTGGATTACACAGTCTTAAACTGCACTGTGATGAAAGAAGTAAGTGACTACACTGCAATTCAATAAAGTGCTTCCTTGTACACCTCACAGGATCACAGCAACAAATCCAGAGGAGTGAAAACAAGAGCTACAGAAACAAACCCAGGTGTATGACAGTGATCGAATCCCTAAAGCAATAAACACAAGCATAAAAACACATGATTACCATACCATAGGCTACAGTTCATGTGAAAGATAAACCCAGTAACTACAGACCACACCACATCATGTTTATAGCAGTGAAAAAACAGTAGAACTGTCATATTTATCAAAGACCTAGGGAAACCTTTGGGGTTCTTGCTTGTTTTTTTCTACTAGAAAATTTCCTGTTTCTGAGACTTCCATTTGGGATGGAAACATTCAGAAGAAACAGTTGCTTACCGCATAAAACAAAGAAGAAAAGCTAGAAATGTAGCATAAAACAAAGAAGAAAAGCTAGAAATGAAACATACTCCGTAAGGGCAGCTCATTCCTCCTTGCCTTGTCTATGGGAGAGATTCCTTCTTCTCTTGCTGCTCCCCCAGGGTTGAGAGCAGCCATGGGTCTCCTCTTTCCTTTGACAAGCTTAGCAGTTTCATAATTTATTTTCTTAGGTGTACTTATACTCTTATCATTTTGTTTTGTTTTCTGAGACATGGTTTCACTAGGGTAGCCCAGGCTGGTCTTAAACTTATTGAGATCCTCCACCTCCTTCCAAGTGCTGGGATTACAAGCTTATTTCCGTGGCACTTTTTATGAGTTTTTCTTTTGATTTTTAAGGCGAGAGAAATGGTACTGTGTGATAAGTATCCATTGTAAGTAGAAGAGAAACCCTTGCATGTTGGGATTTTGCTTCTTGATTCTAAAACTTTCCAGTAGCACCATACATTTGAATCAATGAAGACAGCACATTGGGTAAAATAATATGTAGCTCAAGAAAAAGGTGTGTCTCTCCTGTATTAACATTTGGGTAGAGGTACTAAATCATTCTGCTCTCTGCTGGAGCTCTGGCTTGGTATTTTTCCAACTCATGTTCAGTAAAAGAAACAGACAACATAAGTAGATACAAACATAGTCAAGATCTTGGTACTATCAGATGAAGAATAAAAAAATAACTGCATAGAAGTGTACAATGGCAAATGTATTGCAATATGATTGAAGACATGGAAATTCTGACAGAGCTACAGAAGTATAAATCAAGCAAAAAAGGAAAATCTTAGACTGAAAAATTTATCAGAATGGAATGTTCTCATTCACTGGCAAAACAAAGCAATGAGAGAGGGTCAGCTAAGTTTGAGTCAAAACAATAGAAATTATCTAAAATAAGTCACCAAGAGAAAAAAATAAAAAGCAAAACCGAGACAAAAACAAGCGCCTAAGATCTGTGGGACGATATTAAACTGCTACCTCAGGTTTATAGGGAATCCTAGCAAAAAAGGACAGAAGACAGGATACGAGACACACTGAAATAGATGCTGGCTAAGAAATTTTCCAAAAACTGATGAAATTCATCCGTCTCCATACTCCACAAGTTCTGAAAATCCATAACAGAATATATGCAAGGAAATCCATATGTATGCATGTTATAATCAATCTCCTTTTCAGGCAGGAAACATGTAAATGTATGTAAGGTAATGGGAAGAGAGAGAGCATCTACCAACACACATACACACACCCACACACCCACACACGTGAAAAAAAAGTTAAACAGGGCAATGCAGTTGTCAACACACTGAAACCAGTTACAAGAAGAGCATCAAACAGTGTGCCTCAGCAGTACAGGCAGATCCTTGCAAGCACTATTAGGAAACAGAGCCCTACCAGAATCCACAGAAGCAAGACAAGACTTGACCACACTCTGTGGCTTAAATGACTAAATTATCAGTTTAAAGCTGCAGGTCATATTTTGATTTACTTTTCACTCAAAGGATAGATGAACACCAGGGCACATAGGATTCAGATGTCTTTGAAGGCAATGGGGTGATTTCCACAATTCAGAAACCTATAAGCCAAATTTGGCAAATGATACACTACTCCGTCATCTTTTCACCTTTAAATTTAAAATATTTTATACATGCTTTCTCTAAATAAATTGCTAATCCTATCTTTGCAAATTTACGGTTACGCAAGACTTTGGCAAGCACAACTATACTAGCACTGGGAAAAGTCAATATATGTAATTGGTCAGGTTTTTTAAATGGGGGGTGTGGTTCCCTAAGGACAGGTGAGGTTGGGCTATAACAATTTACTTATATACATTTGATCTTTGCCAGGTGAACAAAAAGTCAGCTTAAAGCCATAACAGCCTGAACATGCCCATTACCATCTGATCTCCAAATCTAAGCAGTGCAGAGCCTGGTTAGCCCTTGGACAGGAGACCACCTGGAAATACTGGGTATGTCAAGCTTTAAAAATAAAGCAGGTGTGCATGTGTGGAGGTGGGAGACGCAGAGATAGACATAGAAACAGACAATATTAAGATAAAGAAACAAGCTAAACTAAGGACTTTTTCTTCTCTAGTGGTTCTGATCATATTTCATGTGGATTTAAAATAGAAACCCCCAAAATTGAAAACATAAAAGCTACAGTGATTGTAATCATTTTTTTTTTCAAAGCCAGTCAAATTTAGCAGTGGAGGGGGGGTGGTATACCAACTTTAGTGACACTAATGTTAGTAAGTTCTGATAACCCACTGCCATCGGACCAGCCTGATTGTAATCATTTTATATTTCTTCATTACACCTATATGTTGAAGACCAATCTTTACAAGAAAAAGCATAATGCTATTATTTTATTGAGAAATAAATAAATTGGGATGGGGTTATTTCTTGATGTTTAATTATTATATCTATGTATGAAGCACAATGGGATAAGCTGAAACATGCACACAAGCCCATACTTGGTACCTCAGGTCACAAACTTACTTTGTTCAATGATTTTGGAAAAGATGGCTACATTTGTGTTTGTGCAGGAAAGATGGCCATGGTTCTGTTTGTGAACTGATGTACAGTGTGCAAACAGAAACAACATTTTGCCAAATGCTTTTGTTTGTGAACCAAATTGTTCACAAACAAGAGTTTCTTAGAACCAAAATACCACTGTACATCATTATCAAACTGAGGTAATTAGCATTTCTAGCTCCATAAATATTCTCAAGTTTTTTTTATTGGGAGCCCTTGAACTCGCTCTTTTCCTTGAGTTCTTTAAGGAAATACATAATACATTCTTGTAAACTATGGTCACCCTACTGTGTAATAGAACACTAGAATTTATTCCTCCTATTTCATTGTATTATAGCATCCATTATCTGCCAGAAACATCATAAAAGACTTAAGACTGTGACAACAAAAGCAATAGAAATGCAAAGCATTCTGAAAATTGCTGCAAGAGTAGCACAAGAGAATCTTTTAGGATGCTGGTAGTGCTGGTTTTTATCTGGGTGCTGGCTACAAGGGTATAGTCAGTTTGTACACACTCACTGCTATTGTATTTTTCTGGATATATGTTACTCCTAGAGGGAAAAAAGATCTATGCCTTTTCCCCCTGCTGAGACAAAATATCTGACACCCAAAATTAAAGGAGGAAAGGTTCATTGTAGCTCACAGTTTGAAGAAGTTTAAGTTTGCAGTCGGCTGACTCCAAGGCAAGTTGGCGTGGCATGGGCACATCACAGAGGAGAAATATTTCATGGCAGCAGAAGGCAGCAAAACAGAGAAGTAACAAAGAACAGCAAGTGACCAGTGGCAAGCAACACTGGCCACCTGCCTTCTGTCCCTTATATTCTATCCAGCCTACTTGCCCTTGGGGTAGGTAGTGCTCACACCCAGTGTAGGGCGCCTTAAATCCCATCATCACACAACCTAAATCCAGACACCTGGAAAAGCCCTACCTATAACCACATGAGGCTTTGGGGAAGAGCGTATACCTAGATATAAGTCATAATAAATAATATCAAATAAAATATCTGTATTTTTGTATATGTTACACTTCATATAAAAAAGTATTAAAAAAAGATTAGGAAGTGATTCTTCCCCTCATCTTGGCTATCCTCAGCTTTGCATCTAAGTATCAAAATCCTAGCACTTACAGAGCCTGGCCACAAAAAAATGTCCCATATGTATTAGTGAAACTCAATTTCAAAGGTAGTTTTTACTGTGACTTGCATGTGCTTTAATACTGTGTTTATATTCTACCTTATATGTAGCATCATGAGAAAGGAGTCCATTCTATTTTCCTTAGAATTACTTATGTGGATCTAAGTAGGAAGCTGTTAGGTTGGGAAAAAAAAAAAAAAAAAAACCAGTGTGAGCTCAACTCAACAGTGCGAGCCTCTTCCTCCTTCTTGCCTGGAATATCCCTGCCTTTTGTTTCAAGAAACTTGATGTCCAGTGTGCTTACACCATTCATTGTTAAGGGGACCTAGGAATTCAGGATGATACAGTACAAGTCAAAAGTAGCCAAGTGACCATGGAGGCTTAGGAAATAACCGAAAATAAGAGGAAAGCCAGAGTCCAGGAGTTCTTAAATGTTTAAAAATTTTTTTAATGTAAGATGACAGATATGTTCACTTGTTTTGTTACAATAAACTGCATATGTGCATATTATATATTATATATATCATAACATTACACTGGAGAACTTCACTGTACATACAAAATTTACTTTAAAAAAATTTTAAACGAGTAACGCATTTACATCACCAGACAGTATAAGGAAGCACTATTTCTTCTCAAAGTTTCTTCTCTCTGTTTCTCCTACCAATCCAGTTCCCATATTTCTAGAGCGAACTAACGTTCTTGGTTCCATACAAATATGTCTGGAATTTATGAGCCATACACAGTACTTTGTTACATAAATAAATATGACTATACACTCTTACTCTTTCTCCTGTTACAGAAAGAGAACCACATTGAGCCCACTATGTAGACACCTGACTTTTCCTTTGTTCACAGGAATCTTTCATATTAAAGAGCGACCTCATTCTTTGATACAGCTGCATGGTATTCCACAGAGTGAGTAAAATATGATCTGTTCAGCCAGTTAATTACTAAAAGATGTCTGAATTATTTCTGATCCTTTTACTATGAAAATTTATGGGTTAACTAATCCCTCATATATGTTGGTATATCTAATTCTTATGCTCCCCCAAAAGGAAATTGTTGGTTTCCAAAGGCAATGTATATGTACTTTTTTCTAACACTGCCAATTTTCCTCTGTAGAAGTTGTACTAATATACTTTTCTACCAGAAATATAGTTAAAAAGCTGTATGACCAGAAAATAGTACTGAACTCTTTGAGTCTTGTCAATCTGTAAAAAAAAAAAAAAAAAAAAAAACTCAGCAGTTTTTAATTTGCACTTCACTTAAGAAAGCACTTCTCTTAGGATTGAGAATCATTTCCTGGGGCTGGGGATTTAGCTCAGTGGCATAAGCACCTGCCTTGCAAGCAGGCAGTCGTGAGTTCAATCACTGGTACCGATAAAAACGAAAAAGACAAAAAAAAAAAAAAAAAAAGAGAGAGAGAAAAAGAGAATCATTTCCTGTGCACAAAAGCCATTTATTTGTATTTGTTTTTCTATTTGTGCCCTTTGCATATTTTTCAGTTATAGGCCAAGGATTTGTCCAGCACTTGTAAAAAGAACATGACTATTGCTTGAGGTAAAAAGAAGACTCAGGTCTTTTGTTTGGTCCCTACAAACCGCCGCCCACGTGGGACATGTCTAGGAAGGAGTCGTGGAACTTCACTGCTCTGTCTTGCCAAAGCCCATGGATGATGTGCAGGCTTGCTAGGCATGTAGAAGATACTATGAGTATAGAATTCAGAATGCAACATGACACTCTTTCTGGACATGAAGGAAACAAATCGATCACTTGAGATATGGAAAAATATTCTCCTTTGGGGTGATGTACACTGTCATAGCTTTGTTTTATAAACTGGAACATGTGGCTCATAGGAACTGAAATTGAACATTGAAGACAACTATTCCATCCAGTTAAAAGAGTGACTACAGGAGAGATGAAAATAGCATTTATGTGCCCATTCAAATACTTTTCCTATGATCCAAATCATGGGCGGCTATTTATTTGTAGGTTTATACCTAATGCTTGCAGCTCAAACTGTTTTATCTTTCGATAACAGGAGGTGGCCTTTAAATTCATTGAGAGCCTTTGCTACTTTCCTCCACAAGCTGTCTGTGCCTCTCGGCCAATCATAAAAGAAGCAACTAACAGAGGTAAAAGAAAAAATCAATAAAAAGATAAAAGTTTTTCCTCATGCCTGATACCTGCAGCAATTCCACTATGTTTTACACTTCTGTTATTTTCACTTTTAAATACTTAGGCTTCTCATGATACTGTTTGCCAGCACCATAATTTAGTGTCCAGTAAAAACAAAAGAAATTTTTGGATTTCCTTGGATCTCGGGGCAGAGGCTATCATGTTTTGTTTCTTGAATTGGATGCTGAGACATGGGATTGTGCAGTTTGTGGAAAGTCATTTAGCTGTGTCCTCATGAAACTATGTCATCTTCCAACACAGAGTTTTACGCACACAACACACTATGAGAAAAGAACCTGTCAGCCTGCACAGAAAGGAAACAGTTGTAACTGCCAGGTGTGTACCAGTGGTGCCATCTGTGTAAAGCATCAGCAGCTCTCCTCCTCACATTAGCTGGTTCCATCAGGAGGTGGCAAGATGAGATGGCTATGACTCTTTTTTTTTTTTTTTTTTTTTTTGTCTTTTTCATTTTTATTGGTGCCGGCGATCGAACTCATGACCACCTGCTTGCAAGGCAGGTGCTTATGCCACTGAGCTAAATCCCCAGCCCCAAGATGGCTACGACTGTTAAAGAGGCAGACAGCCTGGGTTTGGGTCCTGGCGCTCATTTACCAGCTGTGCATTCATCTGTAGATTATTCAGTTTCACTGTATCTCTGTTTCCTCACCTGCAAGATGGCAGTGCCTATCAAGCACTGTAAAGCCAACATCAGAATGAAAGGGGCTCGTGTGAGTAAAGCCCTTGAAGCCACACTGGGCACAGGGCAGCACTGCTTTAGTGTAGGCTATCCTAGGAGCAGGACTTTTTTTCATGGGAGACCCCTTCAATGACTGCAGCATACAGACTTCCCTTCTGTCATGTGCAGACTTATTTTCTTTTGGGGAGATCGAGGCTTAGAGGAGAGAATGGATAAACACTGACCCATCAGTTCTTGTCATATGTGCGTACTATTCCATCTCATGCCTCATCTCCTGTCCTCAAGTAAATTTTCTAATGTGTCTCATGCATATTTGATTCCTTTTATGCACTCCAGTGAAACAGTGAAATGGTACATCTGTGTTTTAAACTGATATTAAAAGTAATATACTACAGAACTGCCTTTTAAACACACTTCACAGATGAATTCATTGTAGGCAGTATCTGCATTGTTGTGCATCCCTGCCCTTCAGGCTTGTCTTAGTTACTTTTTTCACTGCTGAGACAAAATATCTGACACCCAAAATTAAAGGAGGGAAAGTTTATCTGGATTACACTTTGTTGAGGTTGCAGTCCATAATCAGTTTGCTCCAAAGCAGGGTGGTTTGGCAGAGGGCCGTCACAGAGAAGAATGGTTCATGTTGCTCACAAGATAACAAAAGCAACAAGGGCACAAGATGACTCTTTCTGTTCCTTAGACTGTATGCAGGCTGTCCACCTTAGGGTGGGTATAGCTCTCACACCCTTAATCCTAGCCCTATGACTACATGTGTCTAGATGTTTGGGAAATAAACCATAATACTGTTGCTTCTAATTGCTGTTATTCCATTGCGTCCAATTTTCTCAACTTTCAGGAGTCTACAATCACAATACTCCTAAATTTTTGGTAAAACAAAGCTGCAAAAGTCAGCTTTGTATGCATATCCTCATACAAAGTGCTATAGTTGGGATCTGAAATGTTCCTCAAAGATCATGTTCTCAAGGCTTAGTTGTCCATTGATGACTTTAGTGAGAGGTGGTGGAAACTTTGGGAAGTGCAGCCTGGTCAGAGAAAGCAGGTCGATAGGGGTCATTTCCTTGGAGGATATACATGGCCCCTAACCCCCAGTCCTCTCTCTGCTTTCTGGTCACCACGAAACGAGCAGTTTTGCTCATTAGCCTCTCCAACATAATGCTCTGCCTTACCGTAAACCTAGAAGAAATGGAACCAAGTGACCATGAACTGAAACTGTGAGCCAAAATAAACCTTCCTTTCTCGAAGCTAATTTCTCTTGGGTATCTTTCATAGAAATAAACATATTACTAGCACCAAAAATTAGTACTAAGAAGTGGGGTCACGGCTGTCCACTATGTGGGTCAACAGGCCTTGAAACTGCTTTACAGAAGGAATTTGGCAAAGTTTGGAGATTCAGGCTAGAAAAATCTTATAACTCTTTAACTGAAGCTTAAAAGGTGATTCTGTTGGGAGATTAGAAGACTAAAATGCTGACAGACACACAGACAGGAAAGACCATACCAATTAAATTTTAGATGTGAAAGTAGACTGTTGGTAAATGGGCTAGAGGTCAGACGTGTCATTTTGGTAAGGAACTCTGTCGGCATTTTATCTACACTGTACCCTGAAGGTTGGTGCGAGGCTGAGTTTAAAGGTGATGGACTAATTATTCTGACAGGAAATTTGGGGCCAACACAACATTTAGGCAGTGCCATGAATATTGCTGGCTGCTTTTAGCCAGGTTTATAGTGAGAATCAGAAGCAAAAAACAGAGTGGAAAGATATGAAAAACTTGCAATTAGGCCAGAAAAGAAGCATATGTAAAGTTTCAGCCCAAGAGGGTATGGTTACTGAAGAGATTAGTGCCAGTAAGGAGAAATGAAGCACTTTGCACCTGGACAACAGAAAACATGCCATGAGGGCATCTCAGGAATCAGCAATCCCACCTCAAAGACTCAGAACTGTAAAACTGTAAACCTCTTTGAGAAGAAAGCTTTTGGAATACCTCCTCACACAAGAGTGCATACAAAATCAACTCCCTAGGATTTATGTCACCATGCTTAGCTGTCCAGGAACTCAGAGGCCTCTGCAGACAGGCTACTGCTAGAGCTAGAAGCTGACGTTGGCCTCATCCACATAATGCAGATTTTTCTGGCATTCAAAATGTAAGTATTTTGGGATCATGAATGCTTCCATTCAAATATCAAATGAAGGTCTTGGTGATCAGGACAAGGTGATCATGCATTAAAGTCTGTGCAAGTGGCCCCAGGGAAGTGATGTGTGACACAGAAGCTCTAGTTGCAATGGAGACTCCAGGAACTTAGCATGCCAGAAACATGTAATACTGCTGAAGAGAGCTATAGACAAGTAGAAGGGCCAGCTCAAGAGTGGCCATCTGGGGCTGGGGATTTAGCTCAGCGGCATAAGCACCTGCTTTGTAAGTAGGCGGTCATGAGTTCAATCCCTGGTACCGATAAAAACGAAAAAGACAAAAAAAAAAAAAAAAAAAAAAAGAGTGGCCATCTGGCCAATGGCCAGGAAGGTCACAGGGAGGGGCTGCTCTAGTTATTCGGAGTTTCTCTCATAGTACCCACGTGCCCCAAATCCCAGAATGGATTTAATGTTTACTATATAGGATTTAACATTTATCCTACTGGCTTTCTGTCTTGCTTTAGTTAATCCTTCCTTCCTTGGTATTTTCCTACTCCTCCCTTTTAGAATGAGAATGTTCACCCTGAACTGTGGTATATGGCAACTATGTAATTTGTTTTGATTTTCACAGTGGCTCACAGCTAAGCTTGTGCTGAGTCTGAGAGAAGACTTCAGAACTTGAACTTTTGAGCAATACTGGAACTCTTTTAAGATTACAGACTCTTGGTGACAGACTGAATGCATTTTGCATTGTGAGATGGACCAGGGCTCAGGGATACAGTGTCATACAGCAATTTGGAGCTAGAATATCCCCCAGAGGCTCATGTGTTGAAGGCTTGTTCCTGAGCTGGTGATGTTACTGGAAGGTGGTGAGGCCTGAGAGATTAGGTCACTGGAGGCATGCCTTCCTTTGAAGCATTATCTTTGGACTCTGACTACCATCTCTGCTTCCTACCCCCATAAACTTTGCTCCATCACACCTTCTCCACCAAGACCCTCTTACCTTACCACAGGCACAGAAAAAATGCAGCCAAGTAACTATGGACAGAAACTTTTATAACCAGGAGCCACAATAAATCCTCCTTTCTTCAAGTTGATTACACTCTGGTATTTCGTCACAGTGACAGAAAGCTGACTAACACACAGACCTCTTCTTTAGAACTAGACTATCTGGGTCAAAGGCAAACTATGTGGACTTTTTACTACTTCAAATCATCTAATCATTCTGTGAAATGGCAACATCAGACCATCGACTTATAACAACACTCCTAATGAAGACAGTATACTATTTCTCCATTACACCAATGGAAAAGAGAGACCTTCTTTTGACTTCATAGGTAATACATATAATCTGAAAATACTACTTAGCTCTGTGTGATCTCAGAGCTGGTGTGTAACCCACTTTGAAGGACCAGGACAAGAGTCTATCTTCCACCTTGACCTGTTTCACACCTGCTCCATTCTGGCCTGGCTAATAATTACTACATGGCAATACCTGGCCAATAACTGCATCCATTGTGTAATACTCATGCCCACCATCATGTTGTTTAAAAGTCTTAATTTTCCTTCGAGGCCCAGATGAAAAACCATCACTACCAGGAATCCTCTTCTGACTGCTACTCATAGATTGTCTTCTACTCAAAATAGCACCATATTGATACTATTTACCATTCAATTTATTACTGTCTGTGCCTTTTTTGCCAACTAAATCACATTGTTGATAGTAAGGAATAAAATCCTGCAACTTATATTCTTTATGTTTAACATACTAGTGAGTATAGAGCAGGCATTCAAACATAAGTACAACTATAGACTTTTTCCATACTCTTTTATTAGTGTATATTTGCAATTCATAATGATTACAATTGTTGTTGTACAACAATTATGTGCATAATGCATCTTGCTTCTCCTCTTTTTTAATCCCCTGCCCTTTCTCTTCTTCCCTATAGACTTTTAACCAGACATTAAACCTAATATACCTTCTGGTCCTAACTCCTTATTTTACAAAACAGGGAGCAAGTCTCAGCTAAATCAAATAAATAGCTACCTAATAACTATGATAGTAACCATAATTTAAATGTTTTGTCTGTTTTACAATTTGATATTTTGAGATCGAACTCATAACCTCATGCTTTCCAGGCAAGCACTTTTTGCTACTAAGATAAACCCCCTGCCCCTAATTTGGTACTCTTTAAGTAACTGACAATGTAGCAAAAATTTGCCATGTGCTATCTCATTGAATTTTCAGCCTACTTTGATTGATATTTTGGACTCCATTTTTCAGATAAGGAAAATAAGATTTTATCAAAGACCCTAAGAAATTGGCTAAAGGGCATAACTAATAAATTGCCGAAATGAAATTCATGCTCATTTTAGTTGCAGCCAATGATAATTTATACATGGTTGATCTCAAAACAAAAATATAACCTACCTTGAGGATTTCTCTTAGAAATTATAATACCTGAAGATATATATATATATATATATATATATATATGTAAGTTTACATAGTACAACATTTTATGTGACTAAAATACTTCCAGAATAATTGTGGCAACCAGTTTTTCAATCCTTCTCCATCTTTCTACATCCTTAAATATAGTAACAAGTATTGCATCCTCCAAAAAAGAAGAAATCATTCTTGAAATTCCTGGGACTAAAAAGGTGTTAATTACCATCCAGAAACTCCATGCATAATCAAGCTCAAAAATGTAGATAATGTAAAGCTTACTCCTTCAGTGCTTTTTAAAAAAATCAATCTATTTTCTTTCAATATGCCAGAAACATGATTTCATAAGTTTTCCATTGCCTTTATTTTATACCATCTATGCAACTATAAACTCTGTCCAGGGAGCTTCTTGTTCCCTCTGCACAGTAAGTTTCTAAGGTCTCAAAGACATTTACTCTTCAGATAGATAAAAATGAAAAAAAAAAAAAAATCAATCCTAAAAGGTTTATAGTAGTGAGAACAGAAGACCATCTGCTCCGAGATAGCTTTGTGCTGGTTTTCCCACCAGGGAAGCCCAAGTTTTATACACCTCATTCTCATTAGAGAAAGGGAAATTGCTCAGAAATAAGAATAAAAGATTTTTGAAGTCCTACAGCAGATTGAAACACTGCATCTTACAACATGCACATTTTGATAGTTGAATTATCTATGTATTGGGTTTTTTTTTTTTCAAAGAAGGATAAACTGTTACAACACTTCCTGGTTTCAAAATTTATTAGATGCTATGCCTACCACTATTTGCTCTCACATGCTCAAAATTTCAATACAATTTTTATGAACCTATTTATTCTGGATCAGCAAAGCTTCCGGTATAAAATGACAGCTCACGGAGAATAAATCTTCATCATCCTTTTGTGCAGAAACGCCAGGAGATTTGAAAACTAATCCTCTGTGCACTCTTGTGTTTTGTCCTGATGTCCAGATCATGTCCCTGATGCGCTCATATTAAATTGATTTTTATTTAACAGAGGCCTTTAGCAGCTCCACAAATAACAGCTCTGTGGTCTTTGAACTATTATTTCTACTGCCCGTTTTGCTTCATTCTTTGTTCATTTGCTGTGTTAACAGCATTCCTACAGGGGACAGACAGGTGAGCATATTCTCAAAGTGAAAGATACTTTAGACATTCCCAGGGGACAAGCTTAGCCAATCAGAGGCA